GTCACTACGACCCGAGGGCCGTTTTGATTTCAGTGAGCCCACCCTCCCACACCGGGGGCCGAAGGGCGCTGTGCCATAGTTTTCGGTGTGCAGCCTTTCGCTTGATGGTGCATGTGACCGCAAAAGGAGTCGTCAGTGCGCCGTGTATGCACTAAAGTGGATGTGAAGGTCTTCAATGGAAACGAGGTCCTATTCCATTGGGTCTTCAGGGGCTACCGCTCGGACTCGGATCTTTCTGTCCAGCAGCAGTTCTGCGACGAGGTGTTGATCCGGTCAGCCAACGAAGGATGGTTCCGACCCTCGATCGTCATCTGGCACGTGGCTCACAGTCAGCCACATCTCGGGCCCCGCTCTGATCAGCACGATCCAGGCCTGTCGGACCCAGCGTGCTCGCTTCGAACGTCCAGACCACATCCAGCAGTTCGCGCAGCTGTCTGCGGTGATCGCCCCCTGGTACCACAGTGCGTTCGCCCACGAACAGGTGCAAGTGGGAACTGCGACAGACGAGTTCCCGATGGATCATGGGAACTTCCACGTACGGGCTAGATCTAAGCTCAGGGTCTGCCCACTGGAGTTCGTCCGGCAGGAGGCGCTCGCCCACCGGTCGAACGATGAGAACAACGCCGTTCGAGCTCGGAACGGCCCCCCGGCTCTCATGGAAGAGGCGGCTCGGCAGGCGGTTCAGCAGCTGGGCTCCTCGGTCACCCCGGCGCTCGCCAACATGCCCAGCAGGTGTTCGACCAGAGGGTGAGCACTGTTCCGGTGCCGGAGGAGGGCCAGCTCGGCCAGGAGCAGATCGCCGAGGAGGTCGTCACCGATGCCCGCGATCGCATGAATCCCGACATGCGATTCTCTCGCACGTCGGCTGCGATCACGCCTCAGGTTTTCACCGACGTGCTCCAGCACCGTGAGCAGGCGGAGTACGAGCGGATCAGCACGGTCAGGGTGGAGGAGACGGGCCAAGAGATCACGGCTTCCCCCTCCTCTACGACCACGGTGCCGAAGGCGTTCGCCCCGGCCTACCCGCCAGCCAGATCGTCAACGGGGCCCTACACGATGGACAATACAGACTAGTTGTCGATCGAAGCCTAGGTGATGGTCGGTTTTTGTGCACGCTCCTAAGAGAGTGGTGCGCCGCGCGACCGAAGCCTCCTGGCGGATCAGCCGGGCTCTTCCGCGGAACAAACATGCCGAGCGATCCTCTCGGCGCGCTAGATCCCAGCGCATGTTCTGCCGGAAGTGAGATTGATCAATACCTGTCTCAGGCACGGCGCTCGGTTACCATTAGCAGGCACGTGCGATCGTTCGTGCAGCTGTTCAGGCCCAGCATGGATAGGTCCGTTCGGAAGATCCTATCCCTCCCCCTGTTCGGGGATGAATTTTGCCAATGGTTGGTGGATCTTCGGATGGCTCAGTTCGAGAAGCTCACGGCTGTTTCGGACGGGACGATCGCTGAGTGTGTGCTGGCGTTCGTTGATCTTGTCCCTGCCCTCGAGGAACTCCACACGCCGGATCGGCGGAAGAACGAGGAGGAGCTCGGCAGGTGGGTTCCGTCGATCGAGCTGTTGTTTGTGCTGGTTCGTAGCACGGCAGCAGCGGGCTGGGCTGATCTGGCCACTGATCTGGGATTCGGCTTGGCTGAAGCTCCGGTCGTCTTCGGGCGATCGCCACTGAAGTCGAAGGGGACTGGCAAGGAGCCTCCTATGCCATTGCCGCTCGCCAAGAGGCCGCGGGCGATCGAGCCGAGGCCTGAAGATCCGCAGGCATCGCTCAAAACCCGTGAGCTCGGCGAGGCCCGAAAGTGGGGCATGAGGCTGAAAGCGATCGTGGAGAGGTGCGGCGAGCACGCCGCGATCGCGGGCAACCCGAAGCCGGGATCACCCCTGTCCCAAGATGAGATGAATGCATTGAGGTTGATCGTCTTCGAGAGTGGCGGTTTCCGCACTATCCAGCAGTGCGTTCGTCACTGGGAGAGGATTGAGACTTGGGCGAGGTCGCAGAACCTAGCGGTGATCCCGCTGACTACCGACGTGCTCGTCAAGTACCTCTTAGATCTCTCCGACCGAGGTTGCGGCCCCACCGTGATACCTTCGGTACGTGGGGCGGTCAAATGGATCTGCAAGCGGATCGGCTTGACGTTGCCCGACCTCCTCGATCCCCGGATCATGGCCTTGCAGAAGAAGGTCTATGGCGATCGCGGGAAAGAGACGAGGGAAGCGGTTCCCATCCCTCTGATCTTGGTGGCGGCGCTCGAGCGGTTCGTGTGCGCTCGTTTTAAGTCGAGCCAATTCCCCATGGCGTTCTTCGCATGGTGGGTTCTCGTGATGATCTACTCGTCCCTCAGGTTCGACGACGCGCTCCACGTCGTGCCCGAGGCGCTCGCCCTGAAGGACGAGGCTCTCTATGGGGTGGTTTGGCAGACTAAGGTCGAGCGACAAAAGAAGGGAACGCGGTTCGCGGCGGCCAGAGTCTCCGTCTCCGGATCCGACTGGATGGAAGACGGATGGCACGCAGCTGCGTTCGAAATGGACGATCGCGACTACTTCATGAAAGAGCTCGAATCGGCTGAGCGATTCGCCGATCGGCCTGCCAGCTACCAACGGAGCATCCTGTGGCTGCGGTACGTGCTCACTACTGCAGCTTCGGACGATCTGAAGCGCGGGCACATCTCGCCCGAGCGGCTCAAGGAGCTCCTGAAGATCGTGCCGGAGATCACCTGGCACTCCTGCCGGGTCACGCTGCTCTCGGCGGCGGTCCAGGCGCAGGAGCCCGATAAAGAGATCGGGCTCCAAGCGAACTGGAAGGATCCAAGCCAGCTGGTCCTGAAGTACGCTCGGAGCCGCAAAGAGATCTCGATCGAGATGGTCAAGCGGCTCACGAAGAGGATAGCATCCGACTGGAAATCTCCACCGGAGTTCGAGGCCGACGATACCAATCTGGTCGACTTCGGTGATCTCGCTCTGACCTATGTCACCAAGGCTAGATCGGCCGCGGGGTCCTCAAGGGATCTGAGTCTTAAATATCATGCCATGTATATAGATGGTACGGGCACGGAGCGAACGCTCTGCGGCCGGTACGCGATCACCGAGTGCGAGGATCTCGGCGAGATTCCGCCGAGTACTCAGATGTGCTCGTTGTGTTCCGGTAAGATCTTTACGGAGCCGTGAACACAGCTGTTCGCAGTCACGATGGCCACTCGAGCTGAGCCTCTCCCTGACCGTAGCTTTTCTTTTCAGACAGCTCGTTAGGCAGCCATGGTCGATCGCACCGCATACGCGAATGAGGCGGCGACCCCGAAGCTGAACCTGCGCCAGATCTTCGGGAGACAGGGGCTAGATCCAGCCCTCTGCAGGCTCTCGGCCGACAAAGGTCTCCTCACAGTCGAGATGTTCGCAATGCTGGGGCAGGATCTCACCTCGGCGAAGGCGACAATCCGTCGGCTGTGGCAAGATGACTTGACCCCGCTCGGGGCTGATGCGGCAGCACAGGAGCTCTCCGTGATGTCCTTGGCGGCGGTGTGGCAAGCTGCTCAAGCGCTGCAAACGCAATACGCCTCTCGGCGAGCTCGTATGGAGGAAGACCCGAACAAGATCCCGGAGCTCTCCCAGGAGGACCACGCGGAGTTTCGCGATCGCTTCGTGAGGGTTCACCCCGACGTCATCCTGATCGACGCCAAAGAGCCGCATAAGAAGTTCGTCGAACGGCTGTCCCGTGATTTCCTGATCCATGGGATAGTTCCATTCTACGAGCCGGCCGAGATCAGGACCCGATCGGATGTGATAGTGGTCAAGTCTGGACTTTCTCGGAACGCCGAAGATCTCCTGTCCATCTCTAAGGCTGATCAACCCGAGCCGGTCACCGATGTCACGACTCTGTTCAACCGTCTGCATGCTTTCTTCATGGCGCTCGAATACCTCAACATTTGCGCGTTCTCACGCACCGAGGGCCCGCTGAAGTACTTGCAGGAATTGGAGCAGTTCCGCTCGGAATGTCCCTTCACTAGGGACGATCAGCCTAGGCAATTCGCCTCGGGGGTGTCACGGCAGATCATGTCGAGGTGGTTCCCCCGGAAAACCCAAATTTGCATGATCGAACTTTTGGCCGCGGTCGCTGCGATACAGACTTTCAGGGAAGAGATCCGTGGAAAGCTGGTCCTCCTCTTTATCGATTCCGAGCCTGTAGAGGCAGCCTTGATCAAAGGCTACTCTGCAAAAGAGGACGTCTGCGAGCTCGTAGGAATTTTCTGGGAGCTTGTTCTGGAGCTTAGGTGCTCTGTTTATATCGATCGGGTACCGACCGATTCGAACCCGGCGGATAATCCCTCTCGTGGTGATGTCGCTACAGGTCTGATGTGTGGTTGGATCACGGTCCTCTCGGACTTTCCGAAAGGAGTTTGAGGGCCTGGGAATATCGCTTGTCTGATGTGTCCGATCGGATGATGTTGCGGTCTGTGGCGAATGCCATGGCGCACCCCTCGGCGATCGGGGGTCCGATCGGACTTGTGAAGATCAAGTGAAATTTTGATGATCCGACTGTGGCCGACTCCCACGTTGCGGTCGCATGAAAAAGGTGCGATCGCCGATAGTCTGTTCAGTGAGGGCACCGAACGTCTGCGATCGTAGTAACTGGTCTCCTAATTATCGGTCTGGTGGGTAGGAATTAGGAGATCAGTTTCGCGATCGTTGGAACAGACTTGATCTATTTTCTCCGTGGCCATTTTGGCGATAGCCGATCGGGCCATACCGAAAAATCCCACCCTCTCCACCCTATCTGTTCTTTTCGGTATGCGGGATCCTCGCAACGACGTTGGCCTTCAAGCGCTCGCTTTCGGCGACACAGATCAGCTCTGCCGTCCCTGCGTGGATTGCGGCCTGTTCACCGGCTGCTTCTGCGACGGGGACGGCCAAGACGAATGTTACGCAGCCGTTCGGGTCCCCCGCGAAGAGTGGGCTCCCAACCAGCGCACTCCTTTGTGCACGGCTTGCGATCGTCGCCTGGATATGTGTCATTTCTGCCGAAAGACCCCCTGGGTCACGCCGCCGGCTCATCGTGATCGCGATCGTCACCAGCCGGCCGGCTACGATCACGGGGCAGATCCTCCCCTCAACTGGGATCAAGTGATGGGCGTGCCCTCTGTTCAGCGGCCGGTGCCCAAAGCGCCCCCGGCCAAAGCTCATCGCAACAGAGGCATGGATCAGCCGGTCTACTATGTGGATCCCAAGGCTGGTCCTCCACGCCAAGGCCGAGCGGCTCCGAAAGGGCGTTCTCCTTTGTTCGCCGAGCCTGCTCAGTACATAGTTCCAGGGCAGCCCCCCAGATCGCTCGACGCCGTGCCCGCTGACGTTCACATCAGCGGACCGGCTCACTATGTCATTCCGGGGCAGCCCCCGCGGCGGCTGGATCAGCTCCCGCCCGGTACGCAGCTCCCTCCCGGCACCGAGATCATGGTGCCTACGAGGAGCTCGAGTCCGCCGACCAAAGCGCCGCCGACTCCCGCCCAGATCGCGGCGTACCAGGCTTCTCGCGCTACTCCCGCTCGGACGAAAGCCAAAGCTACTCCTGATGCAGCTTTTCGTGCTGTCGAGCGGCAGTTGATCGACTTGCTCGGCGCGGCCCCCCTCGACGACGATCCGATCGAGGAGCCGTCGCCGGAGCCCGATGATCCGATCGAAGACTTTTAATTTTGTTCGCGGGGAATATCGCTTGTCTGATGTGTCCGATCGGATGATGTTGCGGTCTGTGGCGAATGCCATGGCGCACCCCTCGGCGATCGGGGGTCCGATCGGACTTGTGAAGATCAAGTGAAATTTTGATGATCCGACTGTGGCCGACTCCCACGTTGCGGTCGCATGAAAAAGGTGCGATCGCCGATAGTCTGTTCAGTGAGGGCATCGAACGTCTGCGATCGTAGTAACTGATATATATATATGTATATATATATATATGCACATGTATGTATGTATGTATGTACGTTTGTTTGTATGCTGCTGTGATTTATAGGTATATACACGTCGCATAGCATGAATGCAGCAGAGAAGCAAGTTGCAAGACCTTGCCGAAAGTTGTCAAAGAACGAGAAACAATTGCAAACAGAGGCACTTCAATCATATGCGTGAATGCAGAAGCAAGTGCATTTACCCATAAACAATCCAGGAATCGGAATCGGCGCACGTTCCGTTCATGTCGGCAAGGGAGTAAACAGAGAGATAGGAACACACACACACACGCATATAATGAGAAGTACGTATCAATGTATATATGTATGTGTCGTATGTACTTACAAATAAATATACATATACAGATACACATGTGTGACATAGATGAAGTTTTTTACAGAAGTATTCAGCCTAAAAGTCAGGGCGACACATAAACGACACGCTGCTATTTAACTTGGAATAGAAACAGGAATGCAAACTCACGCTTCATTACTAAGATAAGTTTACCTGCTTGGTAATCTAGATACAAGTATACAGGATGCCGAATTTGAAAGTCTTTTGTTTAACGTCCTACCTTCGTAGAAATCGGGCAAGACGACTTCCCAGAGGCTAACTGCAAGGAGCACTCCTTGGCATCGAGACAAGTTGGTCGCGAAGACCTTTCCACCACTCTCTCATCCCGAGCGCAGACCTTCTAACTAAGTGCGTGCTCAGGCGTGGTCGGTGCTGGCTGAAATGCCTCGCCTGCCTGTGTGTTCGTCTCGTACATGTTGTCGCACGTGCGAACCTGAACAGAACAAAGCGCTTGAAGCAGCATCCTGTTCCAACTAACTGCAAAGGCGAATGGTTTGCTGCATTCACGCTTGAATATGCAGTGACTTGTACATGTTACGTGGTAACACTTTGCATTTTCAGTCAGACAGAAGACATCAGAAGACCTTGAGCAAGAGCGGCACGCGACTATGTCATGCAACGTATCCCCCCTCCTCGTCCCCCACACGCATCAGTTTGTATCTGACTGTACAAGGCTGCACAACATCACACGACAATGTAGAGCCTGATATTTTTCGGCCAGTGTAAAGCAGTCATCAGCAATATGATAGACTTGTGGGTTTAACGCGACCATTGATGTTTGTGAGCTCCGTGTGAGGACCAAGCGTCATGTTCACAAATGTGAAGCATGACCATCTCATCCGCTCATCCATTGTGGGATACATATATGCTTATGTATTCACATGCCTCTGCTAAGTGATCTGCGGCAGAGCAGTCCCGACATGCTTTCGTGCACGACAGCATGCAATCATGCATCTCGATCCTTGGATTTGGGCATCGTGCCTCACCGTTGTGGTTTGGGGCGTCTTTTTCCTGGATTTTGCACGGTGCTTTTTCACAGCTCCCTGCAGCGGTCGCAGGAGCTGCCCTTCTGGGGCCATTTTGCAGTGGTTGCGATTGCGCAGTACCACACCGTGCTTTTTTTGGTGCTGCTTTCAAACGGTCTCAGCTACGTCCTCGGCATTTGTGAAGATGCTGGCTATGTGGGGCTGAACCGCGGTATTCTCTGGTGGCCTATAGCTGATCTCGGCAATCCTTGCGAACTGTAGGTTTCTCTGCAGGCTGGTTTGGTTTATACATGATGCCTTCGAGCCGTCTTCCTTTCTGAGCGAAGAAGGGATGCCTCCAGGCTAGAAGTCAGGGGCAGAAGACGGGGGACCGTTTCTGAAAAGTGTCCAAGACACGATCAGGTGATGAATTTCTGTCCCTGCTTTGGTGATGTGCTTTGCTATCAAGGCTGTCCATGGCGAAGTCAATCTGTACACTCTGCAGCAGAGTGTGTTTTAGCATCGTGGCCCTGGCGTTCCCATCATAAGATTGGGAGATGCACAGCCGAAATTCCCATGATTGCATCTGCAAAGCGGTCGACTGGGGAAAATCTAGAAGAGCAGGTACTGTTGCCGACAAGGATGTCCAACTGAGCTTTCTCATTGCCATGCAGAAGTACTATCTTACTATAAGTAAGCATCTTCGAAAGCACGAGTTTTCCGGGCGAGAAAACATCTTGTAGTGCTCGGACGATCACGTGGCTCCAGTGCATTCTGGAATGCTGATGGTTTGCTTCGTGGGGGAGCCGCCACATGGAACAACGACCTCCCGGATTCATCTGCCCTCCTTTGGTGGCCCTCTCAAACCACCATAGCGAAATTTCCAAACCTACCAGTATTCCGCTGTTGATCATGTGCCAACGCCATCCGGGCAAAAACGGCTGCTGGGGTTCTATGCGGGTCGGGGCGCCTTATGGAGTCCGACCCCAGATCCCTAAGCTCCGAAACTGTCGTTCCGGCCAGTCGTCAGGGAGTATCAAGGGTGGTTAGACAGATGGGCGCATGGGGGTCGTCCTACAACCGTTCGAACTCTGCTGACATAACCTGGGCAGGAGGTGCACGGACAGATGCACACAGCAGCTCAGACGGCCTGCGGACGCACCAAGTTCTGCAGGTGAGCAAGTCTCTGTCATGTTAGCGGTGGTGGATTTCGGCTATGTCATAACCGTCCGGTGGGCGCATGAATTTTGTGTTCTACTTCATCGTTACTTCGCATTGGGTCAGATTTGCTACAATAGTCCTTTCGAGAATGTAGAAGTTTTCAGACTGACATCCCGAGCCCAAGTTGAATTCTAAATCTTCGGAGTCCTGGATCAGATACCTCAAGGAGCATGAACCTTGGACCTATGGTCTGCTTGGCAGACCGTATAATGTACTGCAGCGGCTATGCAGTTTACATGATATATACCAGTAGTCGAGAATGTAATGTGCGCGTCTCTTTAATTGCAGAGCTGTTCGTGTTTTGTCAGAAGGTTAGTGCATTGTGTGTGCGTGTGGGTGTTTGTCCGCGGGCGCCTGTGTGTCTCCGTGCCCGGGTGTTTGGGATCAGGGTGTAGGGCAAGCAGGCAGGCAGGAGAAAAAGGAGGGTAGGCAGGTGGGCAGGTCTGTGTCTACGACTGTCCTCGTGGTGTACGTATGCGTGCATGTCGACACGATGTGACATGTTGCACACGGCATGATGCTTGATCATGGCATGATTATGACACTTATGCAACCGTGCTCTCAAACATCGTAATCAGATGACGCAACACAAATGTGACACATGGTTTGTGTGCCAGGCATCACCTAACCCACAGCCACCGGCAGGGCCTCCAGAGCGCTCCGGCGTCGCCTCGAACTCTGATCCGTCAGAAGCTGCCGTGGCCGCTGGGTTAATCCAGGCATTGTTGTTGTTGCTACTGCCAGTGCCACTAATTACCATCGCTGCTGGTGCCGCTCTGCTGCTTTTTCTTCTGCAGGTGTTGCGACTGCTGCTGCTGCTACTGCTAGTAGCAGCAGCAGGAGTAGTAGTAGTGGTAGTAGTAGTAGCAGTAGCAGTAGTCGTCGTGGTCGTAGTCGTAGCCTGGTCGTGGTCGTCGCAGTCGTCGTAGTAGTCATAGTAGTCGTAGTAGTCGTATCCACGACACAGCAACTACTACTACACCTACGACCGACTACCGACTACGACCACCTACAACCTACAACCTACAACCTACTACCTACTACCTACTACCTACTACCTACTACCCACCACTCACCACCCACCACCGACCACCTACCACCCACCACCTACCACCTACCACCTACCACCTACCACTACCACTCCTACTGCTACCACTCCTACTGCTGCTACTACTACTGCTACTACTACTACTACTACTCCTGCTGCTGCTGCTACTACTACTACTACTACTACTACTCCTGCTGCTGCTACTACTACTACTACTACTACTGCTACTACTACTGCTACTGCTACTGCTACTGCTACTGCTGCTGCTGCTGCTACTACTACTACTACTACTACTACTACTCCTGCTGCTGCTGTCATCTCTTGTTTGTGGTTTTGCTTGAGGTGGCGATGGGTGGTTGTTGAGGTGGTAATGACGACGGTAGTCGAGGCGTGGTAGCAGATATTGTGGCTCGAGGTGGTTGCAGTTGCAGTGCTAGTGGCTGATTGGCAGAGGTAGCGTGTCGCCTCGTTCGCGGGATGACCAGCAATGTAATGAATCTAATGTTAACGCTCCCTCGGCCCGGAAGATCCGAGAGCGGGGCGCCAGGTAAACCTTTAATGTGCTGATAACCGCTGCGCATGTGCCAGTTTTAATAGTGCCGTTGAGTTCAGCCGCAATCAGGAAGGGGGAGAAGAGGGGCTGGGAAGCTTCTTGACGCCCGGCCGGGCTTCCCAAGCAAGTCGTAGCTAACTTGCTCACCCCGCCTTACTGAATTCTACACAGCTTGGCTTGAACATGCAGAGACAGATCACTCTTGCTGGCGTCCATGCAGCCAAGGCGAGAGCGGCATTCCGAGATCCAAGCCCGAGATTCTGTCTGTGGCTTTGCTGTTTGTCTGCAAAGCTCGATCTCCTCGTGATGCCAGATGCTACCCGGTTTTCAGGATCGGGACATCTGATTCCCACATCTCCTGCTACCGAAGTCTGGAGTGTCTTCAGAGTCTGGCTCCTTGAAAAGGACAGTCAGCCAAGATCAGGGCGTCCAGATCTCATTTTAAAGCCGATAGATGATGTGTCTGAGCTGCTCGCGGACGGCGGTTTAAATGTGGAGCTTGAGGCAGAAGTTGAGGATGCCAGACGAAATCATGAAATCTGCAGCCTCTCCGGCAACCCTTGATCTAAAAGGGTTACAAAAAAAGACATGTCAAGCTACGCTC